AAAAATCAAGTAGATCTATAAACATATGAAAATCTTGAAAATGGATGGTGTAGATAATATGTTGTAAAATGCATTATTTCTGAGACTTAAAATCTTTTTTATTTTTTATGGTCATACATCTTGATGTTGAGATGATCAATCAAAGAGTTTTTCAATATTAAAACTACATTTTTTGATGGATTTTTGAGGTGCATCCGTAGTTCTACATATAAGGTTGCAACCTTATATAAACTTTTTCCTATATATAATATAAATTATAAATATATTATATTATTATATATATATATATATATATAATTATTATATTATATGCATAATATACAAATATCTTATATTATACTATATATTATATATAATATATAAATATCTTATCATGTGTCATATTATAATAAATATTATATTATATATTATATATGATACAAACATTCATTAATAAAAGAGTAATAGTCCTATGAGACTCTCCCACACCCATGTATGTAGGATCCCAAATGATCACCCTTAAATTTGACACAGATATCTAGAAAAGTTATCAAATAAAATATGAGTAATGATCCTATGAGACCCTCTAGCACCCATGTGCGTAGGACTCCAAATAATTACCATCAAATTTGATACAGATCTCTAGAAAAGTTATCATGTGGGTGTGGGACTTGATTTTTCTAAAGATCTTTGTTAAATTTAACGGTGTTCCTTTGCAATTCTACACACATGGGTGTGGAAGGGTCTCATAGGATCATTACTCATCAAATATATCATATTAAATATTAAATTGTATTATATATATTATATTTTTATATTTATATGGTTAATATATATATGTTATCAAATACAATACCCATAACTTTCTTATCATTCCAACAGGTAATCAAGCACAATATCCATAACTTATCTAAACCTTCAAGAACAAAATACTCAACTTTCTATAAAATACTTTTTCGAAAAACAAACAGGTTATTAAACACAATACCCAGAACTTATCTAAACCTTCTAAAATAAAGCATTCAACTTTCTAGAAGATATCTTTCAAAAAAACAAACGCACCCTAATGAAGTAGACTCCAATTTGATTGTTTAGAGCTTCGGTTCTATATAAACTTTTCCCCACCACAAAATAAAAAATAAGGGGAGAGAAAGGTTCGAGAGAAAAGAAGTTAGAGAGAGAGTGAGTGTTAGAGAGAGAATAGAGAGATTTGTGATTGGTGCCCGTTATAAAATAAGGGAGAGAGAGGGGAGTGATTAGTTAACCGTTAACACTTACGAGAGTAGAAAATAATAAGGGAAGAGAGAAGGTTAGAGAGAGAAAGTGTGAGAGTAGAAAATAAGGGGAGAGTTTAGAGAGAGAGAAAAACAATAAGGGAAGAGAGAAGGTGAGAGAGAGAAAGTGTGAGAGCAATTAGAGAGAGTAAAAAATAAGTAAGGGGAGAGTTTAGAGAGAGAGGAAGAGTGAGTTGTTAGAGTGAGAAGAGCATTTTGAGTGAGGTACAATTATTTAATGGAGAGAACGGCGGACGGACTGCCTTCCCGATAAGTCCGGTGGTTGCTGGAAAACTTAGAGCGAGAGAGAGACTTAGAGAGAGAAAGAGTGAGAGGGCTAAGGGAAGGGGAGCTAGGGCATCATGGGAAATCCCGCTTACACTGGGTTTTCGATAAACGAGGCAATAAATTTGCCGGAAAATCCATGAAAAATAGCCTTTTTGCTCACGATTCTAGGAGCTTTTTCTGCAAATCCATGGCGTTTTAGCTGGAAATCTATCAATATCCGGTTTTAAAGGGAGTCATTTATACGCGAAAGCCAGTTGATACTCGGTGAAAATAATATCGAGAGGAGTTTGGAGCGAAGTCACTTTAAATGGGTGGGGTTTTAGGGCTGAAATCTAAGGAATCAGACACCTGAAACTCTATGAAAACCAGGTGTATTCCTGCTTTTTCGGAAGAAATCAGTGAGGATTTGTGCAAATTTGCACCGTTAATGGAAATCCTTTGTTAAACTGTGAAAGCTGGTGATTGCACAGTTGGAAGAATTTTCAGAAAAAAAATCGAGCCATTATTCGGCAATTTCATGGAGTTTTTAGTTGGAAACCATGAAATCCATGGCTTTTGACAGTAGAGAAGCCATTTCCCAAACTGAGACGCGTGGCGCAAGGTAAGAAAACCGTTATTTTTTTTTCAGATGAAAACTGTTGTCTGAATTTTAGTTAGAAGAAGATTTCGACGTTTTGAACACGCAAACAGGCGAGAGAGCATAAAGCAATCACGTTTCCTCATAGAATTTGGCTCCAGCTTCTTCTTCTTTCTTTTTCTCATTTTCCTTCAATTATTTTTACCGTCTTCTCTATTTATAGTTCCAGATCTGATCTATGTTTTCACTGAAAGCATGTTTAATGGTTTATTTTCTCAGTAAACAAGCGGTTTCGGAGTTGAAGTTGAAGATCCATCTGAGACAGTGAGGAGCTAGGGTTGAAGTTTATTTTAATTCCGCCATTTTTGAAAGCTTCAAAGAGAGTGTTAAAGCTCTCGTTGCAGACTGTATCATTTTTCCCTTCATTTTCAGGAAGTTGTTGAAGTCATTGAGCAAGCTAAGCAAGAAGCCACTTGAAAATTTACAGTGTAAAGAGCTTCTGATCCATTATCATCCGCTTCTTTCTCATCATTCAGGGAAGATACTCCCATTAAAGCGTATTTTTTTGATGATTTTAGAGTTTTTGATCCATTATCTTCTGCTTAATTCTCATCATTCAAGAGAGAGACTCCATTGAAGTGCATTTTTTAGTGATTTAAAAGCTTTCACTTTTCGGATTAATTCCAGTTCATTTCACCAGTGCAGTTGTACAAAAAGAGAAGAAAAAGCCTGAGTTGGCCGAGTTCTTTGAGGGAGAAACTGCGATATCGTACAAGCCTAAAAGTCTCTTTTATACAAAGTTCGCAGTACTATACGGTCGCCATGAATGCTTAGCTGTGTTCTCAGAAGAAAACAAAAACCCTAAATTCCCATCCATTAAGTGGCCGTTAACCCATGATTTCCCACCATCATTAGCTCTCAGAAACACAAAGAGGAATCCATTGCCGTTAACCCGTGATTTCCCACCATCGTTAGCTCTCAGAAACACAAAGAGGAATCTGTACAAAAGTTCATTATCAAGGAGAAGGAGAGAAAAGTCTGAAAGTTTTCCCGGTTTTTCATAAGAGGAATGAAAGTATTCACATGGAGCCTGACGACGCACTCATCGCCCAAGTTTCAAAGCGACCCAAGACCTCAAATGGCCTCTTCTCCAAACCAGTAGCTTCGAAATCAAAGACCAAAAAACCAGGCCATGACCATGGAGCCACACAGGAAGAAGAAGACGCCGAAGAAGAAGAAGAAGAGGAAGAAACCAAGGCGAGCAAGCAAGCTTTCAGCCATGGCGGCTGGCCCCATCACCTCCACACATCAAGGATCATTAGGGTTTCTAGGCAATCGGGGGGTAAAGACCGCCATAGCAAGGTGATGACTGCAAAAGGTTTAAGGGACCGCAGGGTTAGGCTCTCAGTCTCCACAGCTATTCAATTCTATGACCTGCAAGATAGGCTCAACTATGATCAACCGAGCAAAGCAGTTGAATGGTTGCTTAAAGCTGCATCAGACGCCATATCAGAGCTTCCATCTCTGCAAGGCTCGTTCCCCGATAAACCCAGCAAGCCTGAATCATCCGAGCCTGTGTCCGACCCTAGGTCCGAGCCTGAGGCCGAGCCTCAAGGCCTGAACCCACTGACTGGTTCAGGCTGTTGCAGCAGCACCTCCGAGACCAGCAGGGGCTCGGTTTTATCCCTTTCTCGCTCAGACCTGAGGGTGAAAGCTAGACAGAGAGCGAAGGAGAGAACCGCGAAAGAGAAAAGTAGAGCTTCGGTGCAAAACCTAAGCCTAAATGCAGAGGCCCATGATAACAGTGGAACCAGCAAAAGCAATAACAATAGCAGCAACAACAACAACGGCTCATTTACTGATCTTTTGCTTGATGGGAACCCAAGCTCCATCTCTGCAACCCACCAGCAAAACCCTAGCTTTATGCAGAAGCTCCACCATGAATACCTGAACTCATACATGAGCGGCCCCACCATGCTCAACTCAAGCCTGATCCACCCCCACAGACCTCAAAACCCCAATTCTTCATCTTGCCTGATCACAACAACCCAAACCCAGTCGACCCATCTCACCAATCCCTCTCTCTCTCCTCCAAACTCCATGACCATGGCTCAATTCCACCAAAACCCCACCAACTCAAGCGGTTTCTTGGGGGTGGATAACCAGGAGTTGCAGAGTTTCTCATTTGTGCAAGACCATATGGCACCTGTGACCTCGAACGATTACAACTTCTCGATGCCCAGTTTATCATCATCTGGGTATCATAGGGGGACCCTTCAGTCCAATTCTTCTCCATTTACCCACCTCCACTTTCAAAGGTTCTCTCCTTCTGAGAACTCGAACACGAATGTGCCTTTCTTTATCGGGACTTCGGCAGCTGCTGCTGCCGTGGCAGCTGTGGCAGCGAGCGTAGATAATCAGTATCAGGCGGGCTTGGATGCTCGGCTTCAGCTTTGTTATGGTGATGGATACAGGCATTCATCTGATCTCAAAGGGAAGGGAAAGAGATGATGTTTTCAAATCAATGGAGTGAAAAGTTATGGATCTATCAGTCTTCTTCTTCACTGGTAAGTAACCATCTCAAGCATTCTCTTTACTCGATTCTAGCCTTCCATTCTCATTTTACTTGTGAGATATTTAGTGCTCCTTTTGGTCTTTCTCCCTTTATTGCTTGTGGGTTTATTTGTGTTTCTTCTAAACCTTCTTCCTTTTATTTCTTATGGGCTTTAGAGTTTCTTCTAATCTTTCTTGTGGGTTATTTAGTATTTGGTCCTGTCTCTCTTCCTATTTTCTCTGGTTACTGTGCTTATTCTCGTTTCTTTTCTTCTTCTTGCTTGTAGGTTATATAGCTATTCTTCTCACCATTTCCTGAGTTTTCCTGGTAGCATAGAGCTTTCGTTCTACTCTTCATGACAAAGACTAGGGAGATAATATGAGTGGTATGAATTAGTTGGAAAAACAAAGGTGTATTATTTTGCAAAACAAAAAAGATCATGGGGGTTCAAAACTTCAAATGTTTCACCGATTTAGTAAAATAATAATAGTGACAAAATTAAACTTTTTTGCATTTTATTGATTGTTACCTGGTTCTTTTCCTCCATTTATCCGAGCCAGTAAGCTTTTTTTTCCCACTGTTTATGAGTAGTTGAAGCATGCTCTTGATTGAGCACTGTTTCTGAGATTCTGTTAGTTGCGCTGCTCTATAGGTGTTTATTATATGTATATTGTTTTGCGTGATCCCAGGAAAAAGAGAACTTGTTTATAGCCTATCATAGCCTGGATTATGCTATGGGATCTTTGTGAGTTATATATCTTTGGTTGTTCCGGCTTTGATGCTTGTGTGAAGCCTCTGATTGATTTGAAATTTGAACAGATTGCTTTGGCTCCTCGTACAGAGACATAGCGCCACGTGATATCATGTAGTAAATGATTTTTACAACACTGTAGAAAACATTTTACAATATTATATAAATACTGTTCAAAGAAAACATACCATCATATAATTGTACAGATTTGCGACAAGTGGATCCGATTTGAATGGTTGGTAAGCATTTGTATTTGGACACGGTTTGTCTTGTCCATGTAAAAGTGAGTCACGACTTAAAAATTTATTTTTAAAATGGATTTTTTAACTTAATTTTTAAAGACATGTAATCTCTAAAATAGAGATTATGAATATAAAAAAATAAATAAATTCAAAAATAATAATTCTGTTAAAAAAATATTTAGACAGTTAGTTTTAATTGTTTTTAAATGGACAACCTATTTGCATTCATCTTTAATATAGATGCTTTGTATAGGAATGCGACCCAACCCGGATGACAAAATTTTCCTTTGTATTTTGTGTTTTATTTATTTGTTTTTAACATTGAAAAGCAAAATAAATAATGGAAAATAAAAAAATGTTCATAAAGGGAAAAGTACAAAATAAAAGAAGAGAAACTTGTGGGAAGCTAATGATGGTGAAAAAAATTACTATCTTAAATTTAGATATATAATTTGAAAATGACTTTTGAGCCCTCATTTTTTTAGGAGTTAGAATTTGTACTTAATACAATAAATTTGAACAAATGTGTTAGCATCACTAAATGAGTGATGATCATGTTTGCAAATAAATTTTGAGCACTGTTTTTTTTAGGAGTTAGAATTTGTATTTGATTATAATAAGCCACATGATTAAAAAAAGTCAAGTTCATGGTAGAGATAAAATCCCTTGCTCCATTAGTCTAAAGTTGCATCCCTTATTGTCAAAAAGTGGCTATGACTTATTGAATCCTGCTATTGTCAATCATAATGGGTCACTTGACTACTAAAGTACACAACGGGTATGTGATAATGTCCATTTCCATGACTTTAATCTACGAGTCGAAATTATTGGTTCTTCTTTATCACGAGGCAAAAACAAATTATACATTGAAAACATACAAAGATACACACCTAAATCTTAAGTGAAAATTTTAAAATTATAATATGCGGCAAAACAAACTGAAATGGTTCATAAGAACCGAGCCCCGTTGCTCCTATTATACAAGGTCTTAAAAAGCACCTAGGCAACACATTAGCCTTCCTAGGGAAGCGTGTTAAGTTTATATAAAGTTGCAACTTTAAATGTAGAAAGGTTGACTTAAAAAATCTATCATAAAAATTTATTTTTATTTTAGTAAAGCCTCTAATTGATCAACTCGATATCGAGATGTATGAATATGAAAAGAAATATGAAAAGAAAAAAATATTTCGAGTCTTAAAAATAGAGTATCTTGCAACACATCATTTGGACCGTCTATTTTTATGATTTTCAACTATTTATAAATCTACTTGTTTTGAACCACTTTTAGAGTTTAAAATTTTATAATTAGAGATGAAAATAGATTCTCAACCCATCCTAAGAATGTTTTACACCAAATTATATTTATGATGAAATTTAGAGGTGCTCCTTAATTTGATTGTTTAAAATTACAACCTTATATAAATCACACCCATACATAAGTGCATATGTGCATTTCTAATAAACTAGGATAAGCATTTTATGAGTCGGCCAACTAATTATTTATATGATTTATTCTTCCAAAATAGGTTTTGGATAGAAATTTTTTAGGGGTTGATAATTTATACGATGGCGAATATGAATATTTAAAAATAACAGTTTCAAAATAAAATAAAAATTTTGATGTACTTTTCAGGCTGTTAATTTGTGGGTTTTGGTGGGAGCATCATCTTTATAAATCCATATTTAGAGATGGATGTTAAGTGCTTTAAGGTACAATATCGTAGAATTGTGTCCCCCGACGCATGCTACACTTTCAACAAAACTAATGTATGTAAAGATTATTACATATAGGGTGCGGTTTGTATGGAGCCTAGGATCTAAACAATCAAATTAGAACCTACCTTTAAATAGTGTCGAGAAATATGGTTTCAATATTGAAAATCTTTTTGATAGCCTTAAAATATATTTTCATCTTTATTTATAAAGTTTTAAAGCTTTAAGAATAGTGTAAATCGAGATATCTATGAAAACTTGAAAATCTTGAAAATTGACGGTCCAAAGGTGTGTTACAAAATATACTATTTCCAAAACTTGAAATCTATTTTTTTCTTATGTCCATGCATCTTGATGTCAAGATGAGGAATTTGAGGATATTTGGGCATCAAAACAATCTCTTCTAATAAAATTTTTGAGGTGGGCTCGAATTTGATTGTTTAGAGCCTCGGATCTATATAAACTTTTCCCTTACATATAATGCATACAATTTTATTCTTGAAGCAATTTGGGACTGAATCGATTTAGCAATCAGAAGCACATAATTGCTGCTGGCTGGAAGATTCTTATTTTTTGAATCGATGTCCATGCAAGAGGGATTGTTGGGGATGAGATTCCTATTTTTAGAAATTGATATTTAACCAAAATAGAATCAAGATCCCTATAAGATGGAATTGATATTCATAGATCTTTGGAATCGAGTTTTCGACCTACTTGGAATCGATTAATATGGAATCAAGATTTCTTCATCTATGAATTAGAGATTTCAACATCCTTAGAATTGAGAGGGGAATTGAGCGGGATACAATACATGTCCCAATAATCATTTGTGTTACATTTTTATAATATCTTGGAGTTACAATCTCTCCATAGTACCTGTTTAATATATTTTTCCTGTGACAACCATAACTTCTTTGTTTTGCTATCTCATTCTATTTTTATGCCCAAAATCTGATGCGTTGGCCCCAAATCCTTCATGTCAAAGGACTTGCTTAATTCTTTCTTTAACCTGTCAATCCTGTGAAAAACTTGACCAATATCTAGTATGTCATCAACATAAAGCAGAAGAATCAAGTCATTATCAGAGAATTTTCTAAAATAAACACAATGATCTATAACAGTCCTCTTATACCTATCACTCAACATATATGAGTCAAACTTCTTATACCATTGCCTAAGGGCTTATTTCTATGCATACAAGCTTTTCTTCAATTTGCAAACCTATTGTTTTTTTACATTTTACTTCAAAACCTTATGGTTGTACCATATAAATCTCTTCCTTCAAGTCACCATGAAGAAAGGAAATTTTGACGTCTAATTGTTCCATTGCTAAATCCGAACCTGTAGTTAGACCTAGAATCATATGAATGGATGACATCTTCATAACGGATGAAAATATTTCATCAAAGTCAAGACCCCTTTATCTGCCCAAAGCCTTTTACAACAAGAAGAACTTTATGCTTTCACTTGTTTCTCACCATCATTCTTCAACTTGAAGACCCACTTATTTTTCAATGCCTTTCGGTCTTTTGGTAATTCAGCCAAATTAAAAGTGTTATACCTTTTTAAGGAGTTGATTTCATTTTACATGGCTTCATGCCACTTGTACTTTTGTTCATGTAACTTGGCTTCTTGGAAGCTTTCAAGATCACTACCATCGATGAGCATGACATACTCGGTGGACGAATACTTCTGTGATGGTTTCCTTACTCTGGTTGACCTTCTTAACTTAGTTGCAACTAGTGGTTCTTGAGGGGGTTGCTACCCATGCTCAGTTACATCATGTATAGGAGAATTATCACTTGCCACTTCTTCTTGACCTACTTGTACATCTCTCCCATCTTCACATGCAACTGGAGGACGGATTGGAGGAAGTTCTATAAGATCATCCACAAACGCTTGTGGTTTCCCAACTATTCAAAGTCTTCAATTGTTTAATCTTCACAAAATATGACATCTCAGCTTCTTATCACTTTCTTTTCTTCTAGATCCCATAACTTGTAGCCAAATTCTTTATCTGCATAACCCAAGAAGATACACTGTGTTGACATATCTTCAAGTTTTTATCGCTATTCTTTTGATACACGAATGAATGCTTTACAACCAACCACCTTCTAGTGTTCATATGCAGTATCTTTTTCGATCCACACTCTTTTTGGATAATTTCCCTCTAAAGGAGCTGAAGGTGATAAATTAATCAAATAACACGCAATGCGCATTGCCTCACCCTAAAAGGATCTTGCCAATTTAGTAAGTGAAAGCATACACCTGATTCTTTCCACGATAGCATTTCTACTACCCCATTGT